TTGCTCTCAGTTGTTGAAGCCCTAAGACTGGCAAGAGCGAATTCCAAATCTTCAATACTTATCTTGCTGGATCTGTCTGCTGCTTTTGATACGGTTAACCACCAGATTCTCATGTCAACCCTATTGGCAAAGGGCATCTCAGGAACCTCACTCCAGTGGTTTGAGTCTTATCTCTCAGAAATGTCCTTCAGGGTATCTTGGAGAGGTGAGGTGTCCAAGAACCAACATCTAACTACTAGGGTGCCTCAGGGCTCAGTTCTTGGACCACTTCTCTTCTCTGTCTACATGGCATCATTAGGTTCTGTCATTCAGAAACATGGCTTTTTATACACTGCTATGCTGATGACACTCAACTCTACCTCTCATTCCATCCTGATGATCCGACGATAATCTTTATTTGACCCTCTAACTCTAGCACTCTATATTCTAATTCTATTCTTTATTTAAAAAAAAACTTGCCCCTTTTAGACTTGCACTCTATTTATTTACTAACTGCTTGTTTTCTTTTAAAAAAACCTAACAGCTTCTCTAATCTTTTTGTATTCTATCTATTTGTCTTTTTATTTATTATATGATTTAATAAAAACCTTGCTATGTGTACTGCGTTAAGCTAACTGAGACTTGTTATAGCACTTGCATATCATTGCTCTTTTGTTGATTTTGATTACTTCCATTGTCGTCATTTGTTTGTCGGTTTGGATAAAAGCGTCTGCTAAATGTCTAAATATATATATATATATATATATATATATATATACGTATGCTCCGTATGGGCTAAATAGATAGTCTTAGCCCAGTCTAAGCAAACATTATTGAAATGATTGCATTGTAAAAGTGTTTTTAATAAATGATTAGATCAGGACACACAAAATTAGCATTTATGCCCCAGATACATAGGTTAGACACATATTGTAGAGTAACAGGAGGAAAGACTCAAGGTGACTAAAAACAGGGCCATTCATTCACTTAAAACATACCAGGTCAGAACGGTTATATAATTCTGAAAATAGAGGGTGACCTTACTCTCAAACCGACGAGCCGCTCCAGCAGAGAGATGCTGTGCCTGCAGATCACCATCGCAATTATTTTTCTGTCTCCACTTTTAAAGCGGAGTGATCTAATTCAGCTTCAATATACGTTTGTTATGAGCCTGAGACCGCATTTTCTCTTGCTCTATTTGACTACAGCAGTGATTTACACTAGAAAGCTGCGGTCAGCCACGCCAATACAGTCCTGCAGATATAAATGAGTTAGTGAGATTAAAGGGGTCATATGATGCGATTTCAAGTTTTCCTTT